GGGAGTCCTCCGCAAATGTGTGATCATTTGCCGACTTTTCTCCAAATTATTATTATTATTATTACTGTTCCAATAATTAATATTTTGGGTAAATAGTGGATGGGATTGGATTTTGTTCATCAAAAAGGTTTATTTGGAATCGCAAACAACTCTTAGACAGCCATAGGGACAATGCTTTTTAAGGGGTTGTAAGAAGAGGACAACTTTGGGGGAAAAAAATGTGTTGCATTTATTTCTTTAATGTAAAATCTTTCGAATAACTGTAAAAAGTAAATTGCCTGGTAAATGTAGTACTTTTGCGTGGAAGTGTAAAGTAACACTAAATGGAAATGTAAAATTAAATCCATATTAAACCTCATTATACACAAGTAAACATGCTTTCTTTGCACACTGAAACATAAGCCTTTAAAAAATATTCTATGATATGTTTATCTTATTAAAAGATTATAATCAGCCCTGGGTGTTACCGTAGCAAAAATAAACCTCAAATGAGAGAGTGGATTGAGCATTCGTGAAAGAAATTTTAAAAAGCTGATTGACTTAAAATGTTTCTGTTTGGGGTTTTTTATTAAGAGACATCAAACCAGGCTTTGCAGGTTTTCTGATCAGGATTGGCAAATGATTGTTTTGTTTTTTTAAAACATGCTTTTCCTGAAATTTCAGTGTGCAGTTTGAGTCAGGTCACTTAACTGTTACTGTCACATGCTTTTCAATCCCAGGTAAACCTGTTTCATTGCTTCTCCAAACCACCCCGGTGCCCTGCCGACGTCATAATTGCACAGTCTGATTTGTCTTGTCCTGTCAATGTGATTCACGAATCCTTGCTCACAGCCACATGACATTTAAAAACATTGCTTAACTAAGCTTTTTGTCTATCTGTTTTTCTTTCCATACTGGGATTTAATTGCAGATATACTAAAATGTCATGTCATGTGGACTTTTTTTCAGAGAAAGGCAGGATGTGTTTCCTTCTTGTAAGGCTGGTCTGGTGACTGCTGCCTTTTGCAATAATTTGGATTTCCTTCTTCTCCCTTATTGTGTGACATAACAAACTCCTGTGACTTTTTCTTCACATGTCCTAAAGCAGGAGAAATGATGACTTATTAAGCAATATGAGCCAACCGCTGACTTTACACTTGTAGCTCAGTTTACTTTTGTCCCAATCACATGATATTGTATGGACTGTAACTTGCCTCAAGATGACTTCTATTATGAATCGGGTAAAATGAATTTAATTGAATGTCGCTCGTATGTCATCAGGTCTTTTTATTGAATTTAGACACTACCCATTTTTTTAGCATTAGAAATTATAGGCAGGAATGGTCCAAATAATAATTTATTCCAGTTTCAATGCAATGATTTCAAAGTATATGCTATGATTAGCAATTCTCTTTAGTTCCTGGGTGTCTTTTAGGTGGATAGGTTTTCCTTGAAGCACAATTTTATTCACAATTTTATTCACAAAAAAAATTAAAAAGCCTTAATTTCTTCATTCCTTTTCTTTTTCTTTTTTTGGGGGGTTTTCTATGCAGGGGTCAATGGAGGAGCTGGAGCCAGAGGAGCAGTTCCTACGATATGCCCGGAATGGAGATCTGCCTGGGGTTCAAAGGCTCCTCCTGTCCAAGATAAGGGAGGAGATACAGCTCAATATCAATTGCAAAGGTCTGTGATTTGTGTATATCGGGAAAATATATGTGCCTGCTGTGGGCTGGTTTAATTCATTATGTCCTATTTTTTTTTCAGGGAAAAGTAAATCTAACCTGGGATGGACACCGCTTCACTTGGCCTGCTATTTTGGACACAAAGATGTAGTTGAGGAGTTGCTCAAGGTAATGTTTCTTTTCTTCAAAGCATGGAGATTTTGAGTAACTGCAGAGGTAACACGTGTGTTATCACACCCTCCCCTCCAGGCAGGGGCAGATGTTAACTTGCCCAATAATATTGGAGATATGCCGCTGCACAAAGCTGCTTTCACAGGAAGAAAGGTATGTTAATGTGTCAGCAATTTTCATTTCAGATTTTGAGTCCTTTCATGCTTTGCATATCATTAACAGTAGTATTTATGCAAATATTTTATTCATCAATCAATCACATATTGATCAGGAGGTTGTCATGCTGCTGCTGCACTATGGTGCGTGTGCTACTGTCATCAATGGGACAGCACAGATTCCCAAAGACGTGACACAAAATGCAGAGATCAGAAGCATGCTGGAAGGTGAGCCAGATATTCTGTCAGCAAAGAGATGGAAATGTGTTAATTAATTTTTTTCATGCAAAATGCTTATATAGTACCTACATTTTCTTCTTTTAAATCCTGCCTTGTCACTGAAAACAGCGGCTGAGAGAACAGAGGAGAGAAAGCTGGAGGAGAAACTTTTGGATGCTGCACGGGAAGGAGACCTTTCAACGCTAACTCAGTTGGTAAGTACCAGATAACTGAAGCCTAACAATGTAGAAGTCTGAGTCTTATAGGGCTCCCCCTATAGCTGCAGATTCTGCAGCTATAGGGGGCGCCCTATAGTCTGCAGATTGTGTCCTCCCCACTATGTGATTCTGCGCCAGGCTCTTTATCATTAAATAACTCTTAAAAATAGAAGTCTGAGTTTTACATTCTGTCCAGAAATAGTTTGGAATGTCTTTAGCTAATCCGGGCAAAGATCTTTGGGTATCATGGAAGTTTGGTAAAGGAATGTGTTTAAAATCAGTTCTAGCTTGTTAGCCCTGGTCTGAGGTCTGTAGACCCACCACAGACCTCAGTTTCACTAAAGCTTTTGGACAGATGAGGATAAATTCCTGTTCAGTAATGCCTAGAATATGATTCATAAATCCTCTTTAACATTGTGACACTCCTTAAACGGTGTACATTTTACTTTTATTTTATCATATTGTGAAAGCAAAACTCATAAACTGTTACAAATTAAAATATGCAGTAACATGATATATGAGGACAACTGCCATTAAATGACTTGACAACTATCATAATTATGTAATCATTGCAAATGTCTGAAAATTGATGACTTCAGCATTCAGTGGACATTTTCTGCAGTTCTCTCTTTATAATAATCTTTGAATTTAAAAAGCAACATTTGTTATTTTCAATCTACATATCAGTAATACGAGTTTATCATACTGGGGCTTGGAATCAGTGCGACGGCATTTCTAACAATTTAGCGAAACCAAAATATCAACATGTTTTAGACTATAACAAGACATTATATTTTGTTATTTAGACACGTTATTTCTTTATACGTTGTTTCCAGGCAGGCAGTTCTTTTTTAGCTATACTTCTCCAGTGTTTTTTTTCAAGATCTTTCAGATTTCTTGGACATTAGCTGCTTCGTCACTTCCAGTCCTCGTACATGACCGTTTTCAGAGGAATTTTTTATTTTTCCTGTAAGCAACTGAACACACCTATAAATCATTCAAGCACAAAAAGACGTCTAACTGTGTTGTATCAGTGTATTAGATAGTTACAAAATAACAACCCAACAACAGACAACTTGACAACATTTAAACAGTGTCTTTAGGCACTTTGTTACTACCTGCCTGTCACAAAAACACATGATCTTCATAATGTGTAAAGTGTCTTTAAAATAAATGAGAAAACGGGTAAAAACAAATGTTGCAAGCTTAAAAAAACAAATACAGCAGATTACCAGTATTTGAACATATGAAAGTAAGAAATAGGAGAAATCCCAGTCATGACCTGATGGATGATCGCAGAGATTCATTCATCTAATGATGGCGCCGCCATTGCGCGCAATAGGTCGGCAGCCTTATGAAATTATGAAATTTCCCCTTGTGGGACTAATAAAGGTATATCAAATCAAATCAATCTTGAGAAGAACAAAAAGACGCCAACATCCAAAGAAAAGCTTTGAATGTCCTTCAAGAAGCCTGCAGAACTATTCTCGAAGACTACTTAAAAAAATAAAGTGGTCAAGTGAAATATTGACTTTTAAGCTTGTTAGAATTATACAACTCTGTTTTTAACTTTGTGTTTCATCTACATTACCATCTCCATATGGTTATGCCCATTTCCCTATTTATCTAGCAAAATATAAAGAAATTGAGATGTTTGACACTTTTGGACAGTACTGTATAACACATGTGAGTCACAGAGGTGTTTTTCTGTATTAGATGTAATACTTTAAGTGCATTTGCCTAAATATACTTGTATTTTATAATGGTATGCTTCGCTGAAGTAAATGGTGGCGTAATAAGTGACGTTTAGTACAATAAAGCTAAAATGTTACATTTTAGCAAGTAAGAGTACTGGTTAAACAGCCTGTTGGCACTCACACTGTAAGCAGATTAGCGTGATTACAGAGACTTTTTGTGCCTTAACTGACAGTTACACCCTAAAGTATTACACCGTGTTCACAAGACCAGACAAATGTGCCATCAGCTACGCCCTTTGAAATCCAATACTTCACAAAAGCCTGAAGTGAGAAACCACTGGACACAAATCCATATTTTCAATTACAGTGTTCAGAAAAATAAAGGGAACAGTGGCAGTTCAGTTTTAGAGAGCCATTGCAGTCTTAACTATTCCAGCTCTCTGTGGCTGCATCAGAAATCTAAGGAGTTCTTAACACAATAATAAAGAGCATCAGGGCACTTGGGTTCACACAGCACACCTGTTTCTGTCCTGTGTGTTTTCTGTAGCTCTGCAGGAAGAAGCCTCCAGACATCAACTGCACAGATCTGCTAGGTAACACTCCGTTGCACTGTGCAGCCTATCGAGGCCAGAGGCAGTGTGCCCTGAAGCTGCTCAAGGGTGGAGCCAACCCCAACTTCCAAAACAAGAATGGTATGATTCATCAGCCACAGCTGGCAACCATGAATAACTGGGAGATATTCAATAATTTTCCTTTTTGTCACAAATACCAGAAGCAACAATGAACTTATTGTCTTGCCAGGACTGTCTGCACAGCCAAACTTAAGAAATTAAAAGGAACTTGTCATGCTAATTTCCAGCTCCATTTTATGGTTCTTGGACTCTATTGGTCTCCAGTAGACTATTACATGGTTCAAAGTTTAGAATAATCTTTATTTGGCTTTTCTTGGTTTCTCTGCAGCCCATCTGCTCACTTAATGTCAGATACAATGCTTTTGAGCTTCCTGCGCCTTTCTTTTAAACCCGCTTTCTTCTGATTGGCTGTCCCTCAAAAACAGAAGGCCTGACAGAATGTGGGGGCGGGGCTCCTGTGCTCACAGCTAGAGCTGTGTGTCTGAGATGACCATGTTAGAAATATTCTCTCTCTCTGACATCATATAGAGCCAAATGTAGAAAAAAATGTGAGTGTTTAACAGGGATTGCATGTACATGCAATGACCTCATTGTATGAAACATTTGCTTTGTTTAATATGACCTTTCATCTTTGTAACAACATGTATGTAACAGAAAATAAGAAAATTTGCAGGTTTACTTTAAATGTTCTAAAATCTAACAAAGGACTCAGCTGGATAATGCCGTTTTCCCAAAGGTTCATTTGTTGCCTTAATTATTTCAACAGTTTCTAAGCTTTGGTTTTTGTTTATTTTTTTGTTTTGTTTATGAGCAGAAACCAATCAGAGACATAATTTTTATTACTACAGGGAGTGCAGAATTATTAGGCAAGTTATATTTTTGAGGAATAATTTTATTATTGAACAACAACCATGTTCTCAATGAACCCAAAAAACTCATTAATATCAAAGCTGAATGTTTTTGGAAGTAGTTTTCAGTTTGTTTTTTTTTTGGGGGATATCTGTGTGTGCAGGTGACTATTACTGCGCATAATTATTAGGCAACTTAACAAAAATCAAATATATACCCATTTCAATGATTTATTTTTACCAGTGACACCAATATAACATCTCCACATTCACAAATATACATTTCTGACATTCAAAAACAAAACAAAAACAAATCAGCGACTAATATAGCCACCTTTCTTTGCAAGGACACTCAAAAGCCTGCCATCCATGGATTCTGTCAGTGTTTTGATCTGTTCACCATCAACATTGCGTGCAGCAGCAACCACAGCCTCCCAGATACTGTTCAGAGAGGTGCACTGTTTTCCCTCCTTGTAAATTTCACATTTGATGATGGACCACAGGTTCTCAATGGGGTTCAGATCAGGTGAACAAGGTGGCCATGTCATTAGTTTTTCTTCTTTTATACCCTTTCTTGCCAGCCACGCTGTGGAGTACTTGGACGCGTGTGATGGAGCATTGTCCTGCATGAAAATCATGTTTTTCTTGAAGGATGCAGACTTCTTCCTGTACCACTGCTTGAAGAAGGTGTCTTCCAGAAACTGGCAGTAGGACTGGGAGTTGAGCTTGACTCCATCCTCAACCCGAAAAGGCCCCACAAGCTCATCTTTGATGATACCAGCCCAAACCAGTACTCCACCTCCACCTTGCTGGCGTCTGAGTCGGACTGGAGCTCTCTGCCCTTTACCAATCCAGCCACGGGCCCATCCATCTGGCCCATCAAGACTCGCTCTCATTTCATCAGTCCATAAAACCTTAGAAAAACCAGTCTTGAGATATTTCTCGGCCCAGTCTTGACGTTTCAGCTTGTGTGTCTTGTTCAGTGGTGGTCGTCTTTCAGCCTTTCTTACCTTGGCCATGTCTCTGAGTATTGCACACCTTGTGCTTTTGGGCACTCCAGTGATGTTGCAGCTCTGAAATATGGCCAAACTGGTGGCAAGTGGCATCTTGGCAGCTGCACGCTTGACTTTTTTCAGTTCATGGGCAGTTATTTGGCGCCTTGGTTTTTCCACACGCTTCTTGCGACCCTGTTGACTATTTTGAATGAAACGCTTGATTGTTCGATGATCACGTTTCAGAAGCTTTGCAATTTTGAGACTGCTGCATCCCTCTGCAAGATATCTCACTATTTTTGACTTTTCTGAGCCTGTCAAGTCCTTCTTTTGACCCATTTTGCCAAAGGAAAGGACGTTGCCTAATAATTATGCACACCTGATATAGGGTGTTGATGTCATTAGACCACACCCCTTCTCATTACAGAGATGCACATCACCTAATATGCTTAATTGGTAGTAGGCTTTTGAGCCTATACAGCTTGGAGTAAGACAACAAGCATGAAGAGGATGATGTGCACAAAATACTCATTTGCCTAATAATTCTGCACTCCCTGTATTATTTTGAATCAATCTGAAATCGTTTTGCTGCTGGAAATAACACGGTGACAAATACGTATGAATACACAGGTATAAAAAGTCCACCCAAAAATGATCTATGTACATGTGTAGTAAAAAAGGAAATCCTCAGGTCTGGCAGCCAAAGACAGGATAGGAAATGGAAACTATTGAGAATGCGTTTCAGCATGTTTCACAAGGTCTGTCTGAATTCTTTCACCCAAACAAAAATAGCAACCGCCTAGGCGGTTTCTCCAAAAATGTTCAAAGTTTAAAATTCTAATCAGTTTTGGCAATTGCAGCAGTTCTTCCTGTGACTCGAACATGATTATCGAGGCAAAAAATTTAGAAACTGTGATTGCATGAGAAGCACAAGCTGCTCGGATGTAAATGAGTCCTTGATATTTATAATTGCTGTCACCAGCATTTAAACATTCTTGAATCCTGCAGTATTTTTCTCCCTCTGTAAAAATGTGCTCTGTTGTGTTAAAGCTCCTCTTGTCTTGTATGTCCATAACTTGTAGGCCAAACAGTATTTGATCTGGCCAGTGATACAGCAATGAAGCAGATTCTTGAGGGCAACATTCATCGAGTGAGTATCCAGCTGATAGTTGCTGTCCTAATTAACTATTTGTTCTCTTCTGTTTTTTTTATGTTTTATTTTTTTAAACTGATTCATCTTTGCTCTTTGTCTGCCTGGCAGGATATGACCCGACATGTCAAGAAGTATGAAGGACCTCTCTGGAAGGTAAAATATGGGAACTGGCTTTTTTGGTAGCTCTGAAAATCCAATCAGCGAACGAAAACGCACAATTAAAGAAAAGGAGTAAGGCATATATATCTCTTCCTTGCTAAAATACTCCTCACAGCATGTAGTTCAGTGGTTCTTAAACTTTGTTGGCACGTTTCTCTTAAGAAAAAAAACGTTCTCACCTCCTACCAAACAAATTTTTGTCAGTTAACAATAACAAAGCATCCAAGTTGAAAACTGGAGAAATAAAGGTCAACAAGATAGCATCAGCAAACTGTTGTTTGTTAATCTTCCCCAAATAAATTACATTAGTTCAACTTCATTTCAGTCTGTATTTTACCTCCGGTTGACCATCTCCCTGTCTGCACTGGCTCTAAGCCTCACCAGGGGGGCCTGCCCCACAGTTTGAGAGCCAAAACTCACTCCTGATTGCTTTTACAGTACCGATCATACTCAGTGTTTATATGCTTTTATTATAAAAATAACTTTGACATGTAGTCCAGAAATCTGTTTTTTTTTGTCATTAAATTGAAATGAGCATTTAAAAATCCAGAACTCCAGAGGTGCGGTGTGTAACTACACCGTCAGCTCGCTGCTTCATCAAATGTCGTGACCGTGAACGGAGACAAAGATCACAGTAGCAGATACAGCAGGCTTTACAGAGATTGCGATTGTCAGCTGACAACTAAAGGGAAGGAAATCAAGAACAGGCTGAATTTTGCAGAATTTTCCTGCATTCTTATCACTCCCTTTTATCATTGCTGGAATGTTTCCTGGCAGTTGTGCATTGTGAAACATTGACGTCAGGCTCATGGCAGTGTAATTTTGTGCACCTGACAATTATGCAAGTCCGGCAGACACAGAGATGATAACACAGAAAATGTGTAGAGCGTTTTCCACACTGAAAAACCGATAAAGAATTAATAAGGGAATTGCTAAAGAGTCTTATGCCTCTGGGGTGGCAGTGATGCCTGCAGACACAAGCATCAAATCATCAGTGATCAGTGTGAGCCAAACATTATTGTACTGGAGAAAAACACAGTTTGCATTCCACACCTCTGACTGGCTTCTGTTTCTGAGAAACAAAGTCAAAACATAAATTCTGTGAAACTGAAACTGAAATATTTA